TTTCAAGCGTAGGGTACCGGTAAACAAACCAAACGATGATCCTGATCCAAAGGATGATTCTCACAACAACAAAACAACAGTAGAATCAGATGGTCCTCCCGAAGCACTTGCTGCAGCTAGATCGGTGACATATGAATAAATATCGACAAGATTAATTCACAAATTTCTTGAACATATTTTTAAAAAATATTTGTCTGTAACACTTTTTTTTTCTTATAAGCTTTGTAGTGTATTGTGATGTTGACTTTTTTTCCTTTCTATAAACTGAATCTTTTTATATAGCAATACTTTGAAAAATACAGCCGTTGCAATAATGCTTCCTAGATTCTAATCAAAGTCCAGACTTATTATTTATTTTGTATCGATCACTTTTGATATTCTTTTCTTCATAAGTTATAATTTAATAAACTGTGCTTTATTCTGGTTCTTATGGAAATTAAAAGAAGCTTAGATAATTTATTGCATGACATTAATCATGATGAGAAAAAAATAGTTTTTTTTTTATCAATCTTCCATGCATACTGAATACAAATTTATAGCAGAAAATAACAAGTATCCGTCATTGATTTCTCTTCTCTATACAACAATAAAAAACTACATAGTTTGCTAAAACAGGCATTGAATATATTTCTGTTTGAATTATTTTCCAATGACAGTTAGTTCTGGTTTTAATTAGTGATCCTAAGTTATGTTGCAAATTATTGAAGTATTCAAAAGGCACACACTTGAAAAACTTAATCATAAAAAGATGTTTTATTTTTCTATTCTTGAAAAAATTAAACAAAATATATTAAACTTTGACTAAGTTTCATATATATTAAAAATTTTTTTTCAAGAAAAACGTATGTAGTAATCATGTTTTTTTTTATCATCATCAAGTACCCTATCGATAGTTTTCATTAAAATTAAAAGACTGTTCTCTACTCCAAAAAATCTTTCTAAAAAGTTGAATTCTGTGTCAATGTAACAGAAGAATAGATCCACACTCACTAGTAAATACTATCTATAAACGATGATGTTGTTATTGTCTATTGTTTTTTAACTCAGCCTTAAATGAAATAAATTGATCACATGATTTGTTGAAAAATAACTTTGACAGCTTGCTCGTATATTATATATGATGCATAATATTCATATTGACACATGAATGGTGATGAAGCGAATCAATACGCTAGAAATAAAAGAAAAATATCCATCGAACGTTAAAAAAAAACATCAGTTATTCATTGCTGTCTAAAATGAGAATATTATTGTTATTGCAAGCGGTCATAAAGGTATTAATGTAAATATAAAAAAATGATTAATACGAACATATACAGAATTCATTTAGCTATGAACACTCTAAATAAAAACGAGAAGACTAATATACTCGGTTAGTCACAGGAAATGTTAATTGACATGTTCAAAAAAAAAAAGAAGAATGTCGTCGATATATTATATTCATTAGTAGATATAAATCAATGAATATTTGATTCTCTTTTTATTCGTGATATCGATTTGATAATATTTTTCTAAAAGAGAGTCAAGTTTCCGATCAAATATGTGAAAAAAAATCTTGCCGTGAATCAATGATAAAGTGAATAAATTCACCATCGGAACCATATTCGCTATAGAACGTATGCTTCATACTGTTAAATATACTGAACTTCACTCATTAGTACTTGTCTATGTTCAATAAGAACAATAGTTTTTATTTGTATATTTAAGGTGATAAAATTCATCGTCGTTGTATCACTGAATAAATTATACCTCTGAATGTTGAAAATGACTATGAAAAAGAGACAGTCAAACAGCTTCGATTTCTACTCTAACATCGACAAGCTGTGCATCTTCAACTTTAACTAAATTGACCATTTATTTCAATGATTTCAATTATTGTCTTTAGCGTTTCTTGATAAATATTTTGAATGTTTCACCACATTGATTATCAACATAATTATTTCTATTGTTCCGTTGAATGTCAAATTCTGACTTACTAATATTGTTTCTACCGATAATGAGGATCAAATCAACTTATATCGACTATTGTTTATGATAAAAATGTTAAAATTGATCTTGAATCAAAAGAAGAAAGCAACAAGTTGATTTTCATGTTAAAAACTATCCGTTTTCAAACATTCAGTTTTATAAGATTCAATTGTTAGTAATGACTGACATGAATCTATTTGAACTTGAATTATTCAAGATTATCTCTCAAGATTTTTCTTTTATTCAAAAATTGTCTATACATAATCCATTCATCTATATTGACCATATCCGCTTATCTCAACGAACTTTATTTGAATTTAACACATATTAATTATGTTCAACAATTTCTTTTTGAAAGAAACATTTATTTATCTTTTTCGTTTATCAAGTCTTGAAATCAAATATGAAACACTAACAATGCGGGCAAAAACAATTTCACCAATAGGGGAGTATACTTCTCTGATGCTCAATTATGACGTCTTGTTATAAAAGAGTCATTCGTATTTTCCTGCAGTGTATCATCAAATTTTTTTGTAAATTGTTTCAATAAATACAAATATGTAATAGTATGAAATTAGAGGAAATTAAAATCGAATTATTAAGTATAATTATAATAATTCTTAATTGATTAGACACACATTTGTATTCTGAACCAAAAGATCGTACAATTTTTCAATCAACTCCTTTATGTTGACGTTAAGAAATAAGCTGATAGAATGGAATATTTGAAAAAAAAACTTGTATTCAAAGTGATAAACATTTCTATTGACATCAACCATTGGTTTTTTTTAGTTTAACTACTTCTATAAACGAGATGAGAAATTTGTTGTTGAATTTTAGAAAAAATATCGACTTGATAGTACAAATCGGACGCATGTGGCTGATTAATCTTGTTTGAGATGACTGAGAATGATAAGTGGAGCTTTGGATATACAAATTTTGATTTCATAAAAAATTGTACAGAGGAGCAAGAAAAAAGAAGAAACGTCACCTTTTAGTTGGCATTGTTGGTACAGAATTCAGTCAGGACTAAACGTGGCTCCTTACCTTATTTTACTTAGGGAAAGTAAGGTTAGAAAAAAAAAAAGATTTTTCATATAGAGATTAAAAAAAACGGCATTTTTCAACTTAACTTTACCAAGTAAAATAAGCTAAAGAAAAAGTGTCATACATAGCCAAGACAGTTTCAAGAAATCCTATATTTTTTTCTCTATTTGGCTAATATCAGCTGACACTATTCATCTTGTTAATGGTTATCGAGAGTGTGGATCTTTTCTCCATTCACATGCACAAGTCGAATTCGATTGTTTGGTGAATAAGTTATGTTGATGTTGGCACTGTAGCCAATATAAAACATCGAAACATTATTGTGCATTTTGTGTTTTTTTTTCAAATTTTTTTGTGCTTCTGCTTGTTAAACTACGGCTATTGTCCATAAAAGCTTGCACTGTTTCTATAGACAACAGGAATATTATTTTGTTAATGTTGTAAAATGGAGTTTTTTAAAATCATTAAGAAAATTGAGACGAAGAAAATTTCTACACCTGCATTCAAAAGGATTTTTTTTTGACTAAAACTCGATGTTTACAAAGAAGTAGATTCAGTGACTTGAACGAGAATGAATCGGTTTTCAATTAATCTATTAAATTTTGCGTTGATGCGAATATTTTCTTTAAAAAATAACTTGGTCAGTTTTATAGAGTACAAAATTCTCTCTAGAGTATTCCTAGAACGGAGTTTCTGGATTGAATTTGCATTGCTCGAAGAACGAAGATAAAATAAATCCGCTCTTTATGAGCCTCCTGTTATATATACCTTAACGAGAATATGCTAGAACAAAATAATCGAGCAGAAAATTTATGTTCTTGTTCAATATTTTGACAAAAGTCTAGGAATTTGAGCATAGGAAGATTAGAGTTGAGTTTTTTCTAATACTATTATTAGTTAGTCAATCAAAAGAATCGTAAAATATGGTGGACAAGACGCATTAATGAGTATGAAGAAATTGTCAAAGCCTTTTGGATAGAGAATTGCTGCTCATTTTCGGCTTAGTTTCTCGTTTTCTTCATATAATTCATGGACTTATTTAATTTCTTGATCGGTAAGACCCATTTTTTGTTCTTAGAGCATGAACTCTTTCAAGCTCTTTAGAATGGAGCTCATCATCGGCGCTTGCTGCCCGGAATCCAAAATAAATTAGACCAAATCAACTCATTTATCCATGAAGTAAATCTAAATCTTGGAAAAGTGTTTTGACATCTTTACTGATGCCTGGTTAACATGCTTGTTATTGATCAAGTGCTTTTTCTGAAGCTCCTACACGAACCAATAGCAATATATTCAATCTATTGAGGACTAAAATAAGATAATTTACCACATTGAATAACGAAGCCTAGACAGCTTCAGGTGTAGTGATTTGTTCATTGTGGCAAATCTGATCATGAAAAAACCACTCGATCATTAATTTGTCTCGTGCAGATAACTCGATACTCATGATCAGACTAGATCAAAATGATGATGCATTTCAATCTCACTTTCGATAGTTCTCAGGCGTTGTATGAATACGAATAAAAATAATAATTCATTTCTGCACATCTTTTATATTGGTATGAAGCAACCTAGGATGATGTGTGCGTAATGCTTGACAACGGAAGAGAAAGGAAGATTGAAAGAATATTGTTACTATAGAAAATGATTGAATATGTTTATCAACGCTTTCTTTCTCTCTTCTCATTGCTTCAGTTAGTAATGATGCTGGTACGGTACTCGACGGTTAATGTTTATAATAGACTGTTTATAAAACAATCAGCATATAGGAAAGAAAGAATTGCTGTTACTAATTGGAAAAAAGTAACTTATTTGTGAGAAGATGAAAGTATCGACGTCGAGCTTCTTCTATAAGAAAGATTTATTATTCATCGCGTTGTCAAGATATTGAAAGGTTTTTGCTCATTTGGATCAAGGACTCATGCGAAACTAAACAGACTCTTTCGTTCAACCATCTCTCTGGAAATAAATATTAGCCTAAGTTAAAAAAAATACTCCCAATGTATCTTTAATTTTCTTTTGCTGTTGTACGAGCCAAAGATGATTCTTTCGGCTATGTGAGAACGTAAAAAATACCAAAGCTAACGTTTCTCATGTTACATATAACGAAATAAGAACTTCCAGTGAAAGAAGAAATGTCATATTGTACATCATTGAATCTTGGGACGTATCGATTCCAAATCTGGTCAAAGCCAACTTTAATTCTTGACTCGAATTCAACTAAAATTTGCTCGGTTCGACTTTGTGTCTGTAAGGTGTGTACGAATATGGCTATCGAGAAATTCAACAAACACTCACACGCCCAATTCCCACCTAAATCAAGACCCAAATCCTAAATCCGATTATCGATCAAGAAAAGACAAGACATGACAAAGATCGTTTTTCATGAGGGTATGAGTACGGGCGAAAAAGAAGACTATTACCCAGATCTTCCGGTATTGAATATAACTGACTGTGTTTGACGTGATTCTGATTTATATGACCAAGCTAGCTATAGAAACTCTAGTCGCTTTAGCTGACTTCAGCTGATAAAAAATGACTGTAGACAATGTATAGCACAATTAAAGTATGGGAGTGCTTAACAGACCGATCAAAGAAATCAAAGAACAAATACGGGTGTGAATGTGATATTCTATTTACCCACACCCACACCTATGTCCACAGTCACCACCACCCTACATCCATATCCACCGCCGACAGTGATGATGAAAGCATTCGATTTTTTTCTTTTTCTATATTGTACAAATATTTTATCAAATTCCCATCGACTTTAAAATGATTTTATACAAAAAATCTGATAAAGAACACACAACGATAACATCTGTCTATAAACATCAAGAAGCATGTGCATCCACCTAGCTGTTTGTCGATTTTGGCCTTACTTGTTGCATCATAAGATCATATAGACGAGCATAAGTTGATGAATTCGAATTGATATTAACAATATGAGTCCTACAACAAAGACAAATATGAATAGTTGTTCACAAAGGTGAATGTCTGCTTGTTTTCTTTCTCGCTTTTCTATTTCACTGAAATTACGTAGAAAGAAAGTTTCACAGTGGTTACAAAAGAATTTCTTAAAAATTGAAATACCACGGATTCACATATTTATTCGAGAATTCACAAAAAAAATTTTTCTCTTTGAAGATTTGTAGCTAAACAGAACAGAGTTAAGAAGCAACTATAGATTGTTTTGTTTGATGAGTGACTATTGGTACATTACTGATATTTTAATAGCGTGGTGACAAAAATACTCAGTCAAAAGTATTCTAATATACCTAGCAACCAAAACTAAACTTGAGTGTGTAACTGAAAACTGTCATTTAGATCGCAAAAGAATGATTTTAAACACCTTTTTGTTATGCACTGTTCAGTGAAGAAATTCTAACTTGATTCGAGAAAGAGCAACAGAGACGTCACCCTAAAGTCTCACAACGTTTTATGAACTCTCATGAAGTCTGTCGAAGTCTTGTGAAGTCTTTGAGTTATAGCTTCTAATATAACATCTGGTGCAAAAGTGATGGGAGCTTGTTTTTATCGGATGTATATAAACGAAACGGTGCAAAAACAAAGTGTCGGAACCTTAAACTAAGCCGGGTATGAGTGTGCGTGTGAATGTTTTACTCTTCAGAAGTACATCCACATACGTGCACACACCTACAGTCACATCCTACATCCACATTCTCGTGGAATCTGCACTGGAGACGTACTTGTGACAATGATGGCGGTAGGGGATGTGTTCGCGTTACGACTGTTTGACCAACTTCTTTCGCTGTTTCAGCATTTGTAAATTGTTCAAAGATCAAATCAAAAAGTTCTTTTAGTTTAATTACAGTCATAGCAGCTGGTCGTTCAGTTTTTATAGCCCAAAATTGATGACGATCATCAGATGTATTATAAATATATCCGAATGCATGTAAATCACGTGGATCAATAACAACAAAAGATATACGATCAAGTTCATGGTTAACAATTTCTTTCTATGATATACAAACGAAAAATATGATTTTTGAAAAAATGAATTAAGTGTTTATAAATACTTTAGTGGCATCATCGATAATTTTCACAGCAATCATTGTTAACTTTAATTGAATTCGTTGTTTATGTTCACCACGAGTACGTACAGCAGCTTTTAATTTAAGCATAGAGTCGAGACAAAGTTTTTCATCACGATCAACTGACAAATCTTCCGTGCCGATAAGTTTACCTTTAAATCGAAGTCCATCTCCTTCAAATTTCTTTCCTTTTAAACTATTTGATAAAGTTGTGTTGTTGTTTACTTCATCTTCTTTTGTTGATAGCGATGTAGTCGTTGTTGTTGCTGGATGTTCGGACATTTTTGCACAGCTTGTAACTGTTGCTAAATGAATGAAAACAAAAAAATGCAACATAGGACAAGTCAAGTGAATATGATAAGAGACTTTTTTCTTTGTATGTTGATATCTATTTCTTTGTCGTTTGAAGATATTTGAAAAGAAGTACAGATAAAAATATAAACTGAAAGAACTGACTAATAGACGTTATAAAATCAAAACAGCCAAAAGAGGGCGTGGATGTAAGTGTATGTCTGGTGGAGTAATTTTATACACTCATATCTACATTCTCAACATGGCATTTTCACCTACAGCGTGCTCAACTTACTGTCTAGTAGAGAATGAAAGAGAAGAAACAAAATGACAATCTGATTTCAACCACTTTGAGATACGTTATTTCAAATTTATAATGAAATTTCAGTCGATCTTCCAAGCAAAAATGAAACGTGTAGAACATCTGCTACTTCGGATGCTCATGTTACTTAGAAAAACAGAATATACACATACGGGTTGCTAAGGCAGGCCAAGGCGATGACTCCACGAATTTTTGAAACTTTTTCATTTTTCTCTTTATCAAAAATCTATAAATCGGTTTTCTAAGCCATCGATCCCCTGTCTCAACCCTAGTGCGATCTCAAAACACTCTTGCACTTTAATAAAAAAAAATTGACATTTTTATTTCAGAATTTTAAAAGCTGAGCGTAGCTTTAAAGGGTTTGGATGTGGCGCTCTGTCTTTCGAAAAGAGTGATACCCACACCATTCGATTTTTAAAAGTTTCTTTTACTTTGCTCTTTCTGAAATTATTATATTCTTGTAGATTTATGGAATGTGTGTGGAACCGTTTATGTTTGCAGCATTCTTTCAGTTTGACTTAGGACAATAAATTCTGGCATTGTTGTTGAATAGAATATCCGTACAACTCTTGATGATATAGACTATTAACGAATTGCAGTTATTTGGTTATGCTGCTTTCATGTTTCAACGAAACATCTGTCATAGCTTAAATGAACATGAATAATTTGTTGTTGTTGTATGGGAACTATGGTCTTATACGTAGTTGTACGAGCTGTTTAGTTTAAGAGGTGGTGGATCTTTTTTTTTATTGCTATTTTTCGTGTAATGTATCGGTTGAATTAGTAAGAAACATAATCGCACTGGTGGTGCTATAAAGTGCACGATTGAAGATATCACTGAGTGAACGAGTGACAGTCACATTAGCTTATGAGTTAACATTATTTACATGAATGCCAGTGTTTTTGAATAATGGATTTTACGTGAACAAACTTGTTTTGTTTGGAATGTATGTATAAAAGGCAGCATGTGGCTATCATTCACATCACTCGTCTTCTATCTTCTGAAACACTCAACTATTTGTTACGAATTGAACATCATTTTCAACGACATTAATTTTAACGGTGATCGCTTCGGAAGTAACGTCGTGTGAAATTCTTTGTGATGGAAAATCGTTTGCATTTTCGGAGCAAAAAGGATACGTTTCGTGAGATTTTCGGTAAACACATGTTTTTTTTCTGACGACTGAATGATTCAATCAATGTATCAGGATTTAAGACGACATTTACAAAATATAAAACCAATGAACGAATCGGAGTTGGTGAAGAGTGGAAAGAAATATCGTGTATATGCCAGTGAGTTTGATTTTTTTTGGAAGAAGACATCATAAAATTAATTGCGTCTTTTAGAAGAAGAAGAAAAGATAATCGAGTCGAGCGGATACGCACATCTGAGTGTGAGCGTTGATTGCCGACAATTCTATCGTGAGAAGTCGTTGACCATAATGTGTTTTATACAACTGGAAAGTGTGATGGAAGAGGATTGTCTGTTAAGTGTTGAATTGTTGGAACGGGTGACAGGGAATACGTGCATTGATCTCGTCATTGCGCCAGTATGTATTCACTTGAAGCGTATTCTTTTTTCTTTTTATTTTTTTAGTTGACAATCGAAGAAGGCTAACGTAGAGGTTTCGTTCTGGCTCAAGAAATTTCAACGAAAATTACTCTTAGTCCGTGAAAAGCTAAGTAAAAGTTTCTCAGTTGCGCTTTGGATTCGGATGCCCACCGGTCAAGCCATACTTTTATCTTCTTGTAAACCAACCGACTTCAAAACCTAGTCGACGTATGTCATGTCTTAATAGCAAATTATTAATTACAATCTTTCAAGAGCACGGAAGAATGGCTAAATTCGTACCAGAATTTTTACGTGGAATGACAAACTCATTTGTCTCAAGAAGATAAAAAACTCAAAGAATATAAATATCACATTTGTCCTGTTTTGTTCTGTGAGACACTTCAAACATTGATATAAACAATGAAAAATCATGAAAAAAGAGCTTTTAAACAATACTTATTCGACTGCTTCCATTCAAACAAAATAAAAACAGCCTTAATGAATGATGACACATTGTAATCCATCGATTCGGCATGATAGAAGCTATCCTTGATAGATTAAACCATCGCTATTAGATTTTACTGCGCTACAAAGCAGAAATTTACGCAAAAAATTGTATGTTTTTCATTTTTTCCCATTTAACATATTTCGTCATAAGCACCAGTATATTTTTTGCGGGAATATTTATTGTAAACAATTATGTGTCACTTTATCATCATTAAACGCCAAGTTGAAATAACTTTTGAAGTGTGCTGGTCTCTCTAACTTCCTGATGAGATCCTTGAGAAAGGGTGTGGATATGAATCTTTGGTTCAACGACCAGAGTACAATCCTGCCATACATACCCATTATTTATTATAAAACGGATTTATCTCATCTTTCAAACAAAGCAGATATAAATAAGAAATTATATGTAGTATATCTCAGTTCCAACTTCAACATGGCACAATAATCTATTTTTTTTTCTTGAACAAAAGACATGTTAGACGTAATTTGTATGAAAAGTGAAGAAAAGTTTTAGTAAAACAGGTGGAATTGTTGGTTGGACAAATTTGTCAAGTTCTAAGGTCAAAATTGTTGATTAGAATCTTTTGCATCATGTTGGTTCACTTGGAAATCTAGATTGAAGCCGCGATTGATCATATTCCTTGCAGTATTTACTGTGGTCATGTCTACTAGAGACAATATTTGACTGTGACGTTCCGTAGAAATGTTGTTGTTGTTGTTGACCGAAGTGGCACTTAAATGAGCATAGGATCCACATTGGTTAATCCTCTTCTTAGGTCCCCAGTCCTGTCTGGGCGAGTTATTCGCTGTAAAAGCTGCTAAGTAACGTAAAGTTTTCTCATGACCTTCACGCATCTTGAAATCTTCAGTCTATTTATTCAGAAAGAGAAATAATCCAACAAGAATAAATCAACATACCAATCTCACAGCACCAAGAATTCGATATTCTCGAAAGTAGTTGAACACAAAATGGAGAGGAATCGGAATCACGCAAAAAGCACAAATAAACCAGCCTAATATGGTACTCCATGTCGGATAGACGTATTCTGGAAATCCACCACTGGCTTTGCTCGTCAGTGTAGTGCTATTCAACAATTTAGCGACAGTGATAACCTCAAAAAGAAACACCAATAGTTAAAACAAATAAGAAACCATGAGAAGTTTTCATAAAAAGATTGTTCTCGTGAATCATTTTTAAATTGAAATCGGGCATAGAGACAGTGATATCATCATGTATCCCAATTAAATAGGTAAGCCCAAAAAACATGTATCATGGCGTCAGTTCCTATTCAGATTTCTGTTAATATAAGTTGAAAGATATCCGAGCGTAGTTCTAGACATAGCCAAAATTCGAACACAAAGCCAAAAACAAATGATCGTAGTCTTGTGGGACGTCAGATGTATAAAGTATCGAATGATTAGAGCATTCTTTTAATGCATTAAAAATGACATATATATAATGATAAATAAAACCTTCTAAAGTAATGAAGAAAAGTACTATCAAAGTCGATTAATTACTTCTAAGGCTGAGAAGATATTCAAAGATATTTTACCTTGCAACTAAACTATACGATCATGTAGATGATCGATCAAGAAAGCTCTTATTGAACATCATCATTTGTTTCTCTTGATTTATGATCAGAAAATTATGTTTTTGAAAATGCTTTATCAACACCTATGTTTTCTAGTAGCCAAATATTAGATGGTTCCAGGCTATTATGCAATATTCAGTAGATTTCGAGTATCTCTGACTTACTAGTGTAAGAAATGGAGTTGTGAAGCACCATGTGACAAACAAATAGTATTCAGCTGTTCGTTTGCCCAACATCATTTTGATATCATTCATGAATCGATTGAATCCTAAAAATATGGGTTTTTTGGAGAAGTATTTTTGATAGTATGGAGCAGACCGTATATATAAGCAACGGCGATCGCTTCGCAGAAGCAGATAATAAGTAACGATAAATTGGCTGTATACTCTTGGAGGAATTCGAATAGATAGATACCACCCTAAGAGAAGTTTCAAATTGTTCAACGCCAGCTATATAAATAAAACAAACTCACGGGACACGTAAATGGCAAACTGATGATATAAGAAATCACACAAATAACTATGACAATATAGGCGCGACGCCTTCGCAACGATGAAAATAGTTCGATAATAGCAGTTATCACCACATCAGTCATGGCAAACTACAAGGCTATACACAAGTTTATGAATATGATTGTGAAACTATAAATTCACTTGTGAACCGAGTCCGAGTGTGAGAAGCATCAAAAAGAAGATGACAGAAAAGAAAGGACTGGCTGGCATTCTTGAGAGCGCTTCAGGATAGGTAACGAATGCTAAACCAGGACCCGAAGATTCGGCATATTTTGACACTTTTTCATTCAATGTTTTGGCTAAAAATCCAACGGCAGCAAACACTGCAAAACCGGCGAAAACACTGGTAAAACAGTCACATGATACCACAATACACATTTGACTATCAACCATCAGATGAGCATAGATCATCAAGAAAACAAAAATGTGCACTTACTGAAAAAAATTATTCTTGAATTTATTAGCTGATGCATATGCCATAAGTGAACCGAAACCGATGGCGAGAG